CTCTATAATTTTCTATGTGAGATTTCCTTATATGTCTCGCCACTTAATATAATAATAAGTCCGCCACTTTCTAAACTTGTAGCGGAAGAAAAAATTATATTGACTTCTAAAATTTCCTATGATACCAAGGGCTTGAGTTACCTGTGCATGGGGAGACACCACCGAGGTCAGCTGGACTGGTACAACAAGTACCTATAGAGGAGGTCAGGTGGTGAAGGTGTTGTTGGAAATGGTGGTGATGATGATAGTGGTAGTCTTGATGATGGTGGTAGTTGTATTAATGGTGATGGTAGTGATGGTAGTGGTGGTGATGGTGACAGTGGTGATGACGATAGTGGCAGTCTTGGTGGTGGTGGTAGTTGTATTAATGGTGATGGTAGTGGTGGTTTTGGTGACAGTGGTGGTGACGAAGTGGTGGTTGATCCGGTGGTAGTGGTAGTGGTGTCGGTGGTAGTGTAGGAGGTGACTGTGTTGGTGATAGTAGTCGTGGTGGTGGTGATAATGGTGGTGGAGACGGTGGTGGTGGTGACAGTTTTGGTGGTGGTGGTGACAGTGGTGGTGGTGGTGGTGGTGGTGTTGGTGACAATGGTGATGATAATTTTAGTGACGGTTGTGATGGTGCTGATAGTGGTGATAGTGACAGTGGTGATGTGGTGGGGGTGGTGATGGTGGTGGCTGTGGCGGTGGTGGTGGTGGTGGTGACATGGGTGGTGGTAATGGCGGTGGTTGTCGTAGTGGTGTTTGTGGTGACAGTGGTGTTGGTCGTGACAGTGGTGATGGTGGTGACCTTTGTAGTGATGGTAGTGACTGGTGGAGGTGAGAGTGGTGGTTTTGGTGATGGTGGTGGTGGTGATGGTGGTGGTTGTCATGGTAACGGTGGTGGTGGTGGTAGTTGCTCATGGTATCGGTAGTGATGGTGGTAGCTGTTCATGGTATCGGCGGTGGTGGTGGTAGTTGTCTGTTCGGTATCGGTAGTGGTGATGGTTGTTCATCGCCTCGATAGTGGTGGTGGTGGTGGTGGTGATAGTGGTAGTGGTTGTCATGGTAACGGTGGTGGTGGTGTGGTGATAGTGGTGGTGGTTGTTCATCGCCTCGGTAGTGGTGGTGGTGATAGTGGTAGTGGTTGTCATGCGGTGGTGGTGTTGGTTGTCATGGTGGTGGTGGTGGTGGTGATGTAGTGGTGGTTGTCATGGTAACGGTGATGGTGGTGGTGATATTGGTGGTGGTTGTCATGATAACGGTGGTGGTGGTGGTGGTGGTGATGATAGTGGTAGTGGTTGTGATGGTAACGGTGGTGGTGGTGGTGATGGTAGTGGTTGTCATGGTAACGGTGGTGGTGGTGGTGGTGGTGGTGGGTATGGTGGTGGTGGTGGTGGTGATAGTGGTGGTGGTTGTCATGGTAACGGTGGTGGTGGTGGTGATGATAGTGGCAGTGGTTGTCATGGTAACGAGGGTGGTGGTGGTGATAGTGGTGGTGGTGGTGATAGTGGTGGTGGTTGTCATGGTAACGGTGCTGGTGGTGGTGATAGTGGTAGTGGTTGTCATGGTAACGGTGCTGGTGGCTGGTGGTGGTGTGTGTGAAAAGCGGAAACACAAGTGACCACAGCAATGTAGTTCTAGGCAAACAACTTTTTTTACCTCTTAATTCATTCTTCTGTATAACTGTTCCCTCAGTGTAGACACCAGCGGGCCATGTACTGCTGGCCCAGACGTACTTACTAACTCAACTGGCTGTAAGTGACTCAGCTGTGACTCAACTGGCTGTAAGTGACTCAATTGTGACTCAACTGGTTGTAAGTGACTCAACTGTGACTCAACTGACTGTAAGTGACTCAACTGGCTACAAGTGACTCAGCTGTGACTCAATTGGCTGTAAGTGGCGCAACTGTGACTCAGCTGGCTGTAAGTGACTCAATTGTGACTCAACTGGCTGTAAGTGACTCAGCTGTGACTCAACTAGCTGTAAGTGACTCAACTGTGACTCCACTGACTGTAAGTGACTTAAGTGTGACTCAATTGGCTAAAAGTGACTCAACTGTCCGTAAGTGACTCAACTGTCCGTAAATGACTCAACTGACCGTAAGTGACTCACCTGACCGTAAGTGACTGTTAGCGACTCAACTAGCCTCAATCTGCAATCTTTGTATTAGCTTCACACGTTACAAAGACCAGCTGGGCTATTATGAAGAAAGTAATGAACTCATGAATTATAATTATAATAACCTAAACAATTAACTTTAGTTTTTTCTTACTTGATTCTTTTTATTTACTGTTTCCGCCCCACAAAGGCCAACTGAGCATCTGACACAGGCATCCAATCAGTGTTTAATAGATGGTTTCTGGGTTTTCTCTCTCTCTCAACAATACTGACCTGAAGGAGGTGTGTGTGTGTGTGTGTGTGTGTGTGTGTGTGTGTGTGTGTGTGTGTGTGTGTGTGTGTGTGTGTGTGTGTGTGTGTGTGTGTGTGTGTGTGTGTGTGTGAGAGATATAATATCAAGTCTTCATCTGGCTCTGTCGGCCAGGTCAAGGCAGGCCTGTAAACGAGGCACACCAAAGACCCGAACAAAATCCATTTGAGTGTGGGAGAGGGGGGTGGGGGGGGGGGGAGAAGAGAGAGAGGAGGAGGGTTTGTTATACTTGCTTCCCGGGTCAGAGCAGGGGTGAGCTGTGACCTCAGCAAGGCTTTCCACATAATGACGCACTTGAAGTCACCTTCTACCTTCCTGACTCTTCTCACTTTCTATCTTCTGAGGTTCCATCCTAACACTCTTTTATTTTGGCTTCCCGGGTTAAGCATACACCACCTAACACCACCTTCCCTCCCTCGTCACTCCCCTTGTACATATCTTCTTTTCCTTCTGTGAGTCATATGATGATCAATAACCCTCACGCTAACCTAACCCAACAAAACCTAACCTAACCTAACCAACCCAGCTTAACCAAACATAAAGCAACCATAATCTAGCATAACCCCATAGGTAGCGTAAGGGTGTTTAATCATCAGGTGAAATAAGCTGAGGTGCCTAATCTTAAGGTAGTCCCCTCTTTTTTTTGCTTCCCGGGTCACAGCGGGTTGACCTTTGACCTGGCTAAGGCTATTCGTATAGGTATAAGAAACAAGAACTCGGCCATGTTCTGTGTCATTACTCGGTCACATCCGCTGCCTGGCTTCCTCTTCTGTTTGACTTCCTCCACTTTTAACTTTCTCAACTGTATGACCTCTTCCACCGTGTCATTTCCTTTACTGTGTAACTTCTTACGCTGCAAGACGTCTTACACTCTGTGACTTTTGACACCATTTGAGTTGTTCTAGTATTAAGCACGGATACAGAACTGTTATGTTGGTGTCCTCAGAGCTACATATTATTTCACCTTACTGATTAAGACATGGTATAAGTCATCTCTTAACTAAGCTCCGCCCACTGTTGGCCTCCTCACCAACTGTCAAAAATAGTGGAAATTGATTGGCTGCCAGTTCCTAAGTACTGCAAGTCGCTTGTCAAATCAGCAAATTTACTTCCATTTTTTGTTTCTTCTCAATGTTTAATACAATGGAAAAGAAAAATTAATGAATTAAATTTCCCGATTAGGCGTCGCAACGCCCTTAACAACACAATGACCAATCACGAGTTGTAACGGTTGCTATGGAAGCCAAGAATGGCCGGAGCTAATCAGACGGTATATCAATGTCCACCACTCAACAACAAACGCGTAACTGGTCAGCTGTTGTACGTCTTTAGTTCACGCCCACACTTCTCACCAGCTGTCCACCACATGATAACTGACTCATAAAACACTCTAGGTTAAACCCAGAGACTAATAAAAACAGACGATTTTCCGTTTGCGAAGCTCTAAACTAGTTGAATTTCACGTCCTAAACGAACAAAGTGGTTAAGAGGTGAACATTAGACTCAAGGCAATAAAAGAATCAGTTTTACTGCCACAAGTACACAATCTTTTCATTTTCATCTCCATAAGCTGTAATACAGTCTTTTTATTACCTGAAACAAAGGCCAAGATTCAGTGCCGGATTTAGACCTGTGGAGGCCCATGGGCAGCCTCTTTGTGGAGGCCCCCTCATTATAACTACCCAAGAGGGTGGGGTGGCGAGTGAAGCGAGCCTAAACATCTGGGAGTTCTGGGGGGCGCTGTAAGCCCCCGGGAAATTTTGAAATTTGAACACTTCTTTGGAGAATTTTGAAGCCATATGCAGTTATATTGAGGAAATTAGAACATTGAGAAATTTTTAATTAACTGTACAGTATATCTATTGATAATGTACAAATTCCCAACACACACACACACACACACACAAAAGTGAGACATGACTGGAGTCATTCATGTGGTTTCAAGTCGACCAGCCCTGATATAGCTACTACCGCACATGTGGAGGCCCCCAGAGGCCCACTTTGCCCACTCCTGAATCCGGCCCTGCCAAGATTTGTTGTTCTCCAGTATACGGGGAAATGTGACTATTGGAAGACCATTATACATGTACTGTACGTCCACTGTCCCACCCTCAGAACCTGAACAGAAAATGAGAAACGGAGACAGACAGACAGACAGTTTTTCGCTTGCTTAACGCCGGAAGGTTCAGGGTTTTATGTGAAGTGATAGACTGTGCCTTACAGTCTGCTTCAAAACTCGGTATATGCCATCACAAGTCGACCTGTGACACACACACACACACACACACACACACACACACACACACACAAATATATATATATGGCAGAGTACCAGGAGCCGATAACGCCCAGAAAGAACTGAGTGATGATTCAGGAACGAGTTGAAGGTGTCACATGAGCCGGCAGATGAGACACAAAATATGGTAAAACGAGAGGCTAAATTGACTATGAGAGACACTAAAATGCTTACCATCAACTAATATAAACATAAAAACTTCTGTAAGGTTTCACAGTAATAAGAACATCAGCCCTGAAAGACAAAAATACTTTATATGACAAAGTAATTTTGAGAAAATGTTCCTCCCTTTACAGGTGAATTGGGGACTTCAAGATAAACACAGGTCAGTTCTTCCCACAAGGCACGCTATACACCACCATCCTAAGTGTTCCAGAGGAGTGGTGACTGGAAGCCAGAGAAGGACCAAAAACAGAAAAGGAAGTGTAGTAAGAAATTAGAATAAAAAAATAAACCAAGAACGAATCAAGCAAGAATTGAAGAAAGTTCAAAGGTACACGACAGGCAGTCGGACGACATACCAAAGGCGCGTCAAGCAGTTCACCGGAAATGTGTTGGGGACCAGCTACAGGTATGTCAAGGACGCGGAAAAGACACAGGAGACTCCAGCTAACAGGCTTACCAAGACGTGTTGGAGACGACCATATGTAGCAACTGAAGACACGTGCATGTATACCACACACACACACAAACACACACAGAAGCTGCAAAAACAAAAACCTTAGTTGCCTTCATCTTCGAGAAAATGAAAATAGGTCTGGTTTGCTTGCATGCCAGATGATCCAAATTTATATTGAAGATTGACAGGTAAATACATGACCCAGAAAAAACACAAACTGTACAAGCATGACATAGCAAAACTAAATATGAAAGACCAACCCAAAATCCATTTATGCAACTCCCAGACAAAAACGTAGATACAGGTATACAGTATGTATGACACATACAAAAACATCTTTGTATGATACAAGAGAAAAACGTATAATCATGGCCTCGGCAAATATATAAGCTTGACCCACGTAAAGGTAATTATACGTGCATGACCCAGGCCAAAGCACGTGAACACACTCGGGCGGGAACAAAAGCTCACTAGCCTTCACCGCCGGAAAGGTGAAACCAGGTCTAGTTCGATAGAAAGCCAGAGGAACACGACTGACCTGCCTGAGTGAGACTTCGCCATCACTACCTCCATCCGGGTTGGCTCAAGTTCAACTGGCAAGGGTGTTGGAGCGTCACCTGCGTGGTGCAAATACCAAGAACATCGGTGCTGTACAGATGTCGGAATAACTCTCTGGTCATGCTCTGGAACGCATGTGAATGTCACTAATGGTAGAGTCATAACAAAGAATTATTTATAGTAGACATGACGGGATCAGGGAGGCGGTACACACTGGGACGCTCTTGATGCTGCCGCAGATGTGAACCATTGTTTCCCTTTTCCCGTGTGATTTTATCAAGATGTGAACCAAATATATTAGATCATAAATGGTGTTTCTGTTTTTACCAGTCTTACATTTCACCTTAAGCTACGTGAGTTTGAGTGGATAGATGGATAGATAGATAGTTAGATAGAAAGATAGATATTCTGTAAACATCGCCATAGATGTTTACATCGATGCAGTATGCATATACCTGGAAAAGGAGAGTGACAGAAGACGAATACAGACACCAGGCAGCGAGCGGACGACCCAGGTATTGCACAACAAGAGCCCTGACAATAACATCATGTCTGCAACCTTCCAGGAACGATCTATTTTTCTCGGCCAGAAGGATTGAACAAAATGTAATAACTTCTGTATATGGTGGGAGTTTTGGGATTGAGGCGCTAATGGCATCTACCACTAAAAGATATGAAAATATTGGTATTAAGCTGTGGTGGAAGTGCATTCCTTCACTGAATACGAGTCTGGAAACATCTGAATTATTTTAAGTCTCCATGAACGTGAATTTTCTGGAGTAAATGCCTATAAAATTAGACATACTTGAAGAATTTATCAAGTGCCTTCAACACTATCAATCTGCCGTTAACACTGAAGAAACAGCCTCAGGAAATTCCTTGAATGAAATGAGAAGTGACCACAACTAACATGAATGCTCGATATCTAATGTCAGTCTCAAGGCAGCCCGTCACGAGTTAGCCGGAGCCGAGCTGGCGGCAAGAAGTAGCGTGTGGTTAAGTATGACCTTAGGTCTACTGGGAGTGAGGTTAGCAGGTGACCTTTTGTATATATAATATAAGGCAAGCAGAGACAGATGTTGATAAGTTAAATAATTAGACAAATAGAGAGGCATCATGACAGCTGGAAATTACTTAGACAGCAGGTAAGACAAGGGGCCAGAAGGTTGTGTGTTAAGTGAGGGATTACCGTCATCATACAGTACACCACCTGTTGCCGCCCTTCCTTGGTCCTCCTTCATACGCCGTAGTTCACTAAGACATCGGTGTATATTAAATTAAGGTAGTATATTCCGTTATTATATTTTTTGTGCATAACCAAGAAACTATCCCCCTTTCATGACTTCCCTGGTGGATAGTTTTCGTTCATCCTCAACTGTATGTTTTTCTTTTCTTATTTTATAGAGTGCGGCTCCAAACACCAATTGTTAATTCTTAATCGTTTTTTTATATTCGATATCAACAATCATTCGTACTCCGAGTAACTTCATCTCAAGTCAGCTGAAAAGAAAAATATTCAAACAGGCTGATATGAAGAGTTGAAGAAATGTGTTCCTACACTCCCTGCGGTAACCCCTGTCACCGTCGCAGTTGTAGTATCACTATTTATGAATGAATGAGTTTGGTCCTGTAACGACGAACGTGATTGATGGGTAGATTTGCTATAGGTTATATAGGTTGGCATTCGTTATAATGAAGTCTTTGAATAAAACATGACTGTAATAATTAAATATTTACTTGTATTCTAATAGAAAATGCCAGTATAAACAACTGTGTAAAAGATAACTTATCTACACTATAAAGTATGTTCCTTTCACGATTATCATACATCAGTCATGCTCATTACGTCTGCACACGCGCGGTGGCAGTTATGTTAAATAGTGAACTCTTCTACACCATCGACGTGAAGTTGATCAAATGTTTGGTGTCAGTTTTCTGACAGCCTTCTCATAAGCAAAACAAACTGGTCAAGAATAAGGCATCTACATAATATTGTGTTTAGAATATGTAAGGTGCTGCTTCAAAGTAGTAGCAGTCCGAAGCAGTATCCGACCACTCCATCATGACCTGAGACCAATGAGGTACGACTTGTCATACACCACCCAATATGTGGCGAATACATAATTCGGGCAATATATTGATGGGAATGTCTACAGATCGACAGATTTATAAATCAATAGATTCAAATAAAGGAAGTGAAGTCATGAAAAACTTAAGTCAAAGAGAGAGATAGTGAACACAGGATATACACTACAGTATTTCCCTCGTTATTATATACAACTACAGAAGATACAGAAGTGAAACACGTTAGGGATAATAACTCCAATCCTTAACAAATAAGCCACTTACAGTATAAGGAGTAAAATGACAGTAATATTTACATCGCCAGTAGACTAGAAACACCCGTGAGATATTGTGAATACTGTATATCATAATTAATTTGATAAATATTGTTATGTTGAATAGGCTCTCATAATAATATTATTCGTGTCTTTGCAAATAAGTCAAGTAAAGCCTTTCGTCGTGCTGAGAGTGAATAACTCGGTATCCCAGGAATCAGTCAATATCAATTTGTTTCTCCTGCCCACGTGGAGCCTTTGTGTGTATTGTCATATATTTAGTGTTAGGAACTGTGGGATAATCTTCCATTTTGTCATGTACTTTTGCAGACTTCTGTAGGGTAATTATCCGTAAAGGAATGAATAGTTATGTATATATTTTCATTTTTTGGGTCTGTATTTCTGTAGGAAGTCACAGAACAAAAAGGGAAATATCTGAAATTAAACAATGAGTAATGTTAAATAAAGTTCCATAACAGCATAGTTAAATTATGTTCCACGCCCATTAATCAGTACTTTGTCCATCCAGCATGTAATCTGTTGGGCATGGATAAGTACAAGCGACACTATTTTTAAGAGGGTATTGGCTGTTGGGTTCCAAGATTCGTCTATCGTCATCCGAGATGGTATTCTGGCCCGCCACATTTTGGTTTATTCTTCAGATTTCCAGATTCCTCCCATCTCCGCCACCAAGGTCTCACTGTTGTCTTTGTTATTCTCAACTCTCTTGTAATGCTGCCAATGGACATGGCAGCCTGTCTCACACTCACGATTTTTCCCCGTTGGTAAAGTTTTTCTTACTGAGGATTTATGCTTGATCATGATGTGTAGTGATGTATGTCTGCTGTGACTCTTGTGACTCAACTATCAGCCACCAGCCCCTGACATCGACTCGGTCACCACGGTGGACCTGACGTCACCAAGGTTGCGATTCACTCAACCACATGCCCATACAGTTTAACAACCATCATCAACAAAGGAACCGTTTGCCACGATTTTGATTGACTTTTTATAATTAATAACCTAACATAACCTAACCCAAACTAACCAACACGTTATAGAGAGAGAGAGAGAGAGAAAAGTGGGATTTTGTTCTCATCTGCACCGATTTGTCAATGGTCATGGAACAGTACTGCTAGTATTTTGAAGCAACACTTTATTCCGACCGAAATGTGTTCTTATGAGGACGTTTATCAGAAATCTGACAGGAAACACTTGGTCATCTGTATGTATATATATATATATATATATATATATATGCAAGTAAATCACTGTAGTTGCGCGTGATCTAGGTATATGCTGATAACCACAAGGAAAGAAGAAAACACGAAGTTCCCAAGCGCTTTCGTGTAATTCACATCTTCAGGGGTGAGTACAGACTAGAGAGAGAAATATAAATCAAGGTGTATATATACAGAGATGGGTGAGACCAGGTCCACAATGGTCAGGTATTAGGTAATGACCCTACTAATCTTTAAATAGCACACAACGGTTGGTGGTCAGGTCAGATGGTCAGGTGACCCGGCCTTCTCACCTGGTCACAAATCTTCTTAATTACAAAATTGTCCAGCTTGTACATGCCGTTACTCAAATTCATGTTGAATGCTTCGGTATGTTTAATAAGACTAGATTCTATTATGTTCCTACTATCAATTGAATTACATGGTAATATTGAGGAGGCATTATCCCAGTCAATGCAATGCTTGTTATCCCTCAAATGAACAAACAGAGCATTGGATTCCTGGCCTGTCCTAACACTGTATTTGTGTTGTTTAATTCTAGTTGCAAGATCTTTACCTGTCTGGCCTAAGTAAAACATATTACATTCCTTGCAAGGAACTTTATAAATGCAACCAATTGTGTTGTTGGGGGAGTTCTTGATTAACATTTGTTTAACAGTGCATGAGTTTTTAAATGCCACATTGACGTTCCAGGTTTTTAGTTGTGAAGGAATGTGTGAGAAATTTTTGTGAAATGGTAATATTAAGATATTCTTATGGTCATGGGTGGGCTTGGGATCAGTTCTATAAAAAGTTTTCTTAGTAATGTTTAGGCATTTGTCTATGAAAGATCTAGGGTATTTAAGGTTTGAGCCAATATTATATATATATTTGTATTCCTCATCGATGAATTCCGGACTGCAAATTCTCAAGGCACGTAAGAACATTGTTGAAAATACTGACTGTTTGACTTTATTATGGTGGGCAGAATAATAATGAATGTATGAACACACATTAGTTGGTTTTCTATAGATACTGAACTTAAAAGTGTTACCTATTCTGTGTATCAGACAGTCTAGGAATGGCAATTTACAGTCTTGCTCTAATTCCACAGTGAATTTGATCGAGGGGGCTAAGTTGTTAAGTTGTGGCAGGAAAGCTTTTAGGTCCTCATTACATGGCCAGAGACATAATACATCATCAACATATCTAAACCAGACTGCTGAGGGTGGTAAAATATTACTTAATAGTTTCTTTTCAAAGAATTCCATATATAGGTTGCTTAATACAGGTGAGAGTGGATTACCCATTGCCATACCAAATTTTTGAGCATAATATTCCCCATTGAATTCGAATTTGCAATCCTTAATACATAGTTTGATGAGTTCGATGAAGTCGTCTTTCGAGACGGGCAGTGAAATGTCATCTAGGGAATCTATGAGGAACTCTAGTAAATCATCAACTGGGACCTTTGTAAAGAGTGATGTTACATCAAAGCTGACCAGTTTAAAATCATAATTAATGTGTAAGTTATTGAGTTTATCAACCAGATCCATATTATTCTTGATATTGGAGTTAGAAATGTTGCCAACTAGGGGATTTAGTAAAGAAACTAACCATTTAGATAGTTTATAAGAGATTGACCCAACTGAGCTAATGATGGGTCTTGCTGGGTTATTGGGCTTGTGGGTCTTGATTACACCGTACATGTATGGCAGTGGAGGGGACGTTGAAGTAAGATGTTTAATGAGAGTA